TCTTTAAAAAATAATGAATTTTATAGGAATAATGATTACTATTGGTTTTAATTCATTTCACATAAAATTTGTTCCACCTTTTAGGGTGACCACTGTATGTTTAGAGATAAGATTAATTTTTAAATTTCATTATTTATTTTGATTATATTTTATTTATTGTGTGTGCGTGTGCATGTGCACATGTGCATGCCCCCTGTGGAAGTCTTATTTCCCATAAGGGGCCCAGGGATCCGTCTCAGGTCTCAGGTATAGCCACAAGTGTCTTTACCTACTGAACCATCTTGCTGGCTCAGTCCATTCTTTTAGAAGTTATATTGAATAATTACTTTAGACTAGGTGTTAATACCAAGCAGAGTGACATGGCCTATTTCAAGGTGATCACAGAAAGATGGGAAAGACAGACACATAATGCAATAAATCACATCCTGCGATATGTGCTATATGCAGAATTAAGGACTCTGGGAGAACATCTAAAAACAACCTCAGTTTCATCTTTCGATCTTTAGAGAAAACATCTGAATTTAGGATTTTTTTTTTTTTCATTTTGCAGTGTTGGGGATTGAAACCTTAACCTCGTGCATGCTAGGCAATCAGTCTTACATTGAGCTACATTCCAAGCCCCAGATAAATCTGACATTTGTCAAACAATGTCACAATCACCACAATCAAGCTGTTCCCCAAAGTCTCTTGTGTCCTTTTGTAGTCCCTGTTTTGTAGCACTGTGTCCCCCTTCTTTCACCAGAGAGGACCAATCTACTTTCTGTCACTACAGATTAGCGTGTAAGATCTTTACATTTATAAAAGGAACTCTGTAGTTCCTTTTAATATCTGTGTCTCCAGGACTGTGTAATATGTACCAAGTTCTGAATGCAGGTACCATTCCCTTAGGCAGTACTTTATCTTAACAGAGACTATGCATATTCATTTTTTGTGAAGCACTTTTCCCCCCCTGTGCTGTGGATGGAACCCAGGGTCTTGAGCTGTATAGACAATCATTTTCCCACTGAGCTACTTACCCAGCCCTTGGATATTTTGAGACCTGGTCTCTATATAGTTCAGGCTGCCTATGAATTCACTATGTAGTTCAAGCTGGCCTTCAGTTGAATTGCCTTCTCCCTCAGCTTCACAAGTGTGGGATTATAGGTATGTGCCATCATGCCTGGCTTTCTGAAGCACTTTTAAGAAGGGATTCAGTTCTATAAACAATATTCCAACCATCAGAAAGATGCAAATTAAAACTACTTTCAGTACTATCTCACCCAGTTAGAATGGCTATAATCAAGAAATCTGAAAACAAATGCTGACAAGGATGTGGGGAAGGAACCCCTTTTCACTACTGGTGGGAGTGTAAACTAGTATAGCCATTATAGAAATCAGTATGGAAGTTTCTTGAAAAATTAAAAATAAAGCTACCATTTGGTCTAGCTCTACCATTCTTAAGCATATACTGAAAGATCTATATTCTAACACAAATAATTGCACATCCTTATTTATTGCTTCTGTGTTCATAATAGCAAGGAAATAGAACCAGCCTAGACACCTATCAACAAATGTAGAGACAGTGGAAATGTGGTTCAAGGGGGACATTGAGGCAGATTGCTGCTTGGGTAAGAGAGCTATTAAAAGGGTTATTAACAATATAGATAGGCAGACAGCATGGCCAGGAGTCTGAGGAGAGAACAGGCCCATGTGGAAGAATGAGGGTCCTTTATACATTTTAGAGGAAAGAGGGCAGTTCACAGTATTGCTTGCAGTCAGACTGTTTCTGATTTCCTGCTTACAGGAGGCAGAGACAGAGTCTTAGCCTAGGGCCAGTATATAGAACTGGCTTGAGAGGCTGGGGAGATTTCTAGAAGAATCTAGAAAGACAAGTTAATGGAAGAGCTTTACAAAATGGTGTAACTCTGGCTAATAGTGCACAGTGCAATGTTCCTAAGCTATAAAGGAAAATGAAATAATGACATTTTCAGAAAATGGATAGATCTGGAAAGTATTTGTAATTACTTAAGCAAGGTGACCCAAACTCAGATATATGGATCCTAGCTTGTAGTGTATGTTTGTATATAAGTGGGTATTGATAGGTAAAAATGTTGGGAGAGAGGTGCGCGGATGGAGGAGGCACCGAGGCACAGATGGAATTCTCATTGGGATACAGATTTATTTCGCATGGGGCACCTTTCCCTTGGGGAAGGGAAAGATGTCAGGGAAAGATGTCAGCCCACGGGCTGTGAACTGGGACTTTATATATGGGGGCTTTAGGATGTAGAAGGGGGAATGTTTGAGGGAGAAATCAGGGAGGGGGAAGCAGGAAAAGCAGGTAGGATTAGGGTCTGGAAGTGTTTACTTTTTCCCTCTTAAGAGAAAAATAGCTTCTAAAATCTCTGGTTATCAGGTAGAATCTGCTTATCTTATCTTTGGAGGTCAGAGGAAAGGCAGGCTGCTTCTCAGCAGAGTTTGTTTCCCTTGACTTCAAAGGTCAAGGTGCTTATCAGCTAAGTTCCCTTTTTCGAACTCCAAAGTCTGTAGGTCCCTGTTGGGGAGGGGGGAAGCTGCTGCTGTTTGGAACTCTAACAGGTATGAGTGTAGATAATGTTGAAAAATTAGAAAGGTTATGAAAAGAAGTGAAAATGAGGTGCTAGGGGAGAGGAGGGGAGTGAAAGGGCACATGTCACATGAAAACAGAAAGGAGACTTGCTGAGGGTCAGGCAGTCATCATGCACAGGGAGTGGGAAGGGCACAGGGATGCAGACTTGGAGAAGGAGAATCTGCAAAAACACTTTGTTTGAAGATGACATAATGATACTTAATGCTTTGTATGCAGTTTTTAAAATAAAATTTAAAAAGTAACAAATCCAGTATTTTACAGTGCAAAAATAAATAAGTAAACGAGAGAAACTTCAACACCTGTATTACTAGATGAAAGAGGACTCCAAACACATGACTTTCTAGAAAGAGCAAAACTGTGGAGACAGATGGGTTTTGGGGAGGGAGGGATGAACGCATGGTGCCCAGAGGATTTTTCAGGCACAAAACTCTCTCTCTGTATGTTGCTGCATTCACTCTGGAGAGACGCCGCTATGCCATCTGTCTGTGGTGCAGGTCCCACATTCTCCTCAAAGCCCCTGCCATGCTCTTTTCTATCTGTCTTATCTGTGTGTTAAATAAATCTTGTGGCCTCAGGGAACAATCTCTCTCGGCATCTTCTCTTGGAACCTAGATCTTTCAGTAAACATCTGTCAAGCTCTTCTGGTCTGTCCTGTATTGGCCAGGCCATTTACTTGAATAAGACCTCTGGATCCACGGGGTGGAAGGGGAGAACCAACTGCGGGAGTTCCACATGCCTCCCCCAGTAAAAATAAAACAAATAAATATAATAAAAGTTTACTTTATTATTCCAGAACTCCTACCTTTAGAAATTAGCATTTCAAAGGAAGAAATCCTAAGGGTGCCTGTTCTGTTGACCAAGCCTTGGGTTGAGGGAGGCTCAGCAAGCTGCTTTAGACCTGCAGATTAGGGAAGGCTTCTCCACAAAGGAACCTACAAGATGAGAAGAGCTGTGGGAAGAGCGTCCTGGGAGGATGGCACAGCTGAGGCAAAGGCCCTGGCTCCTGGTTGCTCTTTCTTCAGACTAGCAATTAAAGAAAAACAATTTTAAACCTTTCTCACCTGGATGTGGTGGTTTATGCCTTTAATCCCAGCACTGGGGAGGCAGAGGCAGGTAGATTTCTGTGAATTCAAGGCCAGCCTGGGATTGTTTTTCTGATTTCCTTCTCAGCTTGCTTATTATTGACTACTTTTTTAATGTTAATTTTACATACTAACACTTCTGAAGCTGTCAGATCTGAGTTTTCTGGGTGGAATCTTTAGGATCCTTTTTTGTATTGCAATATAGTCCCTCCATTCCTGTTCTCTTCAGGATTTTTATCATGAAGGGATATTGGATTTTTGCCAAAGGCCTTGTCTGCAGGTATTGGGATGATCATATGATTTCTGTCCTTGGGTCTATTTATATCATGTTTTAGAGCCATTGATTTCCATGTGTTAAACCATTCCTACATCTTTTTTTATTTAAATAAATAATTTATTGAGAATTTCATACATGCATATAAGGTGTTTTGATCAAATCCATGTCCACTCCCTCCCCTCCAACTCCTCCCATATCTCCCCATCACTTTTTTCTGATAACTTCATGTACTCTTTGATAGGTAAAAAGTTGGCAGAGAACGAGCTAATGGATGATGAGGCACCAAGGCACAGATAGAACTCTCATTGGGATACAGCTTTATTTCGCACGGGACATGTTTCCCTCGGGGAAGGGAAAGATGTCAGCCCACGGGTTGTGAGCTGGGACTTATATATGGGGGCTGAGAACGAGTCAGGCAGGGAAAATGTCTGCCCGGGTCTTGAGCTGGTGTCTTTTTAAAAGGGAGGCTTCTGCTTCCTGCAGAAGGTGGGAAGATGTATTTTTTTTAAAGTTCAAGTGGGGGGGAGTGGGAGAGCAGGACTGTTAAGACCTGTCCTCTTTAGAGATCAAAGGGGAAGCCTGCTGTGTTGGCCAAACAGTGGAGAAAAGTCTGCTTCTCTTGACTTCAAAGACCAAGGTGCTTATCAGCTAGGTTCCCTTTTCTCAGGAGCATGAGAAGTCCTTGGGATCCTGTTGGTGAGGGGGCAGGGCTATCTGAACCTTAACATTCCAGCCTTTTGTGTTATAGGATAGGGGGTGCCGTTGTCATCTTGCTACTTCCTGCTGGACAGGGTCGCCATGGGGGGCTGGATTAGGGGTCAGTCAGACAGCAGGGGTTCCCTCTTCATGTATCTCAACAGGGTCCTCAATGGTTGACAGGCATTTGTGTACATGTAGAGGGAAGGAAAGTAACAACTGATTAAAATAAATAAGAGTTAGTTTTTGGATTTGCTCCTGAAGATATCTGAAGAGGCAAGGAGCAATGGTTAGCACCAAGGTAATAGCTCTTTTTTCTTTTTTTTTTCTCTTCTGCCAGGGCTGAACTTGAGAGTGATGGACTCAGGATTTGTTTTCAGGTACTTTTATAACTGTTGGAGTGGCTAGAATCAGTGTTAGTTACCTCTCAAAGGCTTCTAGATAGGGAGAGAAACAAATTTAGCCATCATTTTATTTTTTAGGCTAGAACAATAGTGGGTTGCCTCTCTTAGCTGTAAGTGGGCACTACAGTATCGTAGACCAAGATTTGAAGTCTTACATCTGAGTAACGTCTTATTAGAAACAAAATTATCAATGAGAGATAATTGTCTAAATAACATAAGAACTTACATATAATGTCTGGGTTGTGTAATCCCCTGAACCCTTAAAATATACTGATGACTTTTAGTTATGCTTTCCTTTCAGGTGTTTAAGACTGTACTGTTAGCCCAAATAAACCAATTTATTTTTTACTCTTAAGGTCGTATGAGGATTTGGTCCTAGGGGCCACATGGGCTTGGGGGGAGCCCCTGGCTCCTCAGGCTTTTCTTTTACCAGTTCCATCTGTGTGAAGATAAGTCAAAAGGTCTTGCTTGACCAGGGCTTCACTTGGAAGCATGGAGGAAATGTTTCCTCTGTGTTGACCCTCCTCTTTGCAGACTGGACACTGGCTTAAGTCCATCTCCTGGGGTCTCCATGGCCTCCCTGAACAAGAGGGCAGGTGACTCACCAAAGTTATAGAACATTTCGAGGGATGTGCCATAGCCCCTGGAACTTGTTTGACCTTGGAGGGCCAGGAACAAAAATTTGTCCCTTTAAGTCCCTCTGACCAGATTAATATAGGCCTTAGAGTCTGGCTATTAAACATTCAACAATGTTCGTAGATGGTACATTACACCAGTCTGGTGCATCAATTACCATGTGCTATGTAGATAGAGCTTGGGCAACATCTTCAGACTAGTTGACTAAGCTGTGACCTTAGAAATTTTAAGATTGTCTACACGTTATCCTTGTCTCATGCTTGTTATATTGTAACAACCCTACACAGACCTTCATCACCTGCCCAGCTCTCTCATTTCTCTGTCAATTCTGGAAATAGCCAGTCATCATAATTTTCATACTAAAATTCTTCTTTAAAAATATCTCCGGTCTCATATCCTTCCACCATCCTCCAATTTTCCATTTTCTTTTTCTAATCACCATGAGACACAATAACATTAACAAACAAAATTTTCATCTGTTGTGAGACTTCTTTTCCTGGGGATACTAAGTAATGTTTTTCCCCTTTTCAGGTTGTAGTATCAAACCAATGTTTGATTACATTAAAGTTTTTCTGGGGAACCAGTGAATTTACTGAGCTTACTCACAGAGATGACTGAGGAGTTGCTGAGGTATATGAGTGACCTGAGAGTATTTACATTGGAAAGCCTTAACCCAGCACGGATCAAGCCTTCTCTAAGCCTTAACCCAGCATGGAGCAAGCCTTCCTAGCCTTTTTCAGATAATATACTTTAGTCTTTTCCAAGTCCGGGAGACCATGTAATTAGGGTCAAATTACATACAGTTGGCTGGGAAGAGCAGCTGGGTACTCAGGTGAGGGTCCAATGACCCTGTTTACCCCTCGTCCTTCATTAAAGAATATGATAGTCAAGTCAACAAGTTTAATTGTGATGATTTTTGTTAGTGGACATAGCTGAAGTCATGAAGATGATAGTAGTTTGACTCAGAAGAAAGTAGTGTGTAGTATCATCTTATTAAAAGAACATAGAATCTACATTATATACATAAGATAATGTAATGATAAGATAATGTAATAAGTTAATATTACCTGTGTACATATTGTGTTTTATAAGTTTTTAGGTAAATCTTTTACCTTATGTAGTTTAGAGAGCAGTCTATGAAAACCTTGCTTTAGGTGGAAAAAAGCAATTGGAACATAGTTAAACATTATCGAATTGATGTTTACACCCTCCAGCATAATCAATTAAGGAGAACTGCTATAACCCTGTTTAGACTTTATAACTGTTGGAGTGGGAGAGATGGGAAGGGTGTCCTGTCCATGAGGGGACAGAGGGGCAGGGGTACTGGAGGCAGGGTAGTAGAAGTTAGATACAGGAGTGATAAACGGGTTATTTGAGCTAGAAGCCAGAATAGGGGAGACTAGGGAATATTTGGCAAGGAGGTGTTTAAGGTTTTGGATTTCCTCAAGTAGAGGAGAGTTAGTGGAAGGAGAGCGGGTAATGGACTTAGAGCAGTGCTGGAGATGGGGAAGGTCACGGCGTGGAGAGGGAGTTAGAGCTGAAGAAAGGAGGAGAGCTGGATTGGGCCCTGGAATGGGAGGCAGGGAGAGTATAGCAAGGGGAGAGCAAGGGGAGGACTTGGCTGTGCCTCAGGCTGGGGAGCAGGAGGAGGTTGGGGATGGGTCCTAATCTCCTAATTGGAGGCAGTTTTCCGGCTATGATAGGATCAAAAGCTGAGGTGGAGGGGTGAGGGGGTGGGGGGGAGGCCCCTGGTGAGTTGGGATCCCATGAAACTGTCTTAGCAAGAAGAACCTGATGGAAAGAACATGGGACCCAGACAGAGGAAGATTAGCATGGAGATCAAAGGAAGCTTGGCTGTATGGTAATTCAGACCATTTGCCTTTACAATGGCAGAAATTTTCTAAATCTCTCAAAATATTGAAGTTTAAGGTTCCAGTGTCTGGCCAAACAGAGTTATTATGTAACTTGTGAGGCCAGGCAGTGGTGCACAGGAACTTCAGGCGTTTTGGCCTGATTGTATCTGAAAGTCTTAGTTGTTTTAAGGATTTAAGAAGACAAGCAAGAGGTGTGAGACCCTGAGACTTTGAGTGGGTGTTTCCCATAGTGACAGATTAAGTACAGAGTGAAGAGGAGATAGAGAAAGAACCCAGCAAGTGGATAGGAGGTAGAGACAGAACCAAGCAGATGGGAGACAAAGAAAATCGTCTCTCCATAGGGAGTGGAAGCAGGATCATGAGTCTGGGCAAGAAAGTGAGCTGATGAGGAAGAGAGAGAGATGGGGCAGGAATAGGAGGAAAAGGGGTTTGGCATTGGTCACGCAAAATGAGAGTGAGGAGACCCAGACATCAAAACAAAGCGTCCTTTTTCTGTTGCACAGGTTCGAGTTGTTATTTCCAAGTCCCAGAAGGTGGCGCCCCACAATTAGATCATCAGAGAGAGGAAAGGCGAGATCCCGTCCTGGACAGGAAGTAGTGCGTGTTCCTATCTCTGGAAATAGCATCCTATATCCAGAGAAAGGAAAGGGGTTTCTGACACACGTGTGATTTCGAGGCAAGCGAAAAGAGAGGAAAACCCTGCAATGAGAGCATGGCATGACCAGCCAGTAGATGGAGACAAAGTACAAGGAATGGGATGGGAGAAAAGTGGGAAAAACACAGTGAGCCAGAAGGGAGGGAAGATTGTGGAACAAGTTGATCCTGAGGTTTATTTAGTAGAGACTGAGGGAAGATGAGCCCCAGAAGGGTGGTGGTTTAGTAGAGGTTTGGTAGAGCCCCAGAAGGGAAGTGGTGAGAGAGAGAGGAAGGGTGAGAGAGGGAGAGAGAGAGAGATAGGGAGAGAGGTACATAAAATTAACTTAAGGTGTTAATTTAACATTTTTAGTTTGTATCAGATTTTACTTAAAAATTAGTATGATACCAAGTAAATTAATTTTAAGAAGCATAAATTTATGTTGACTGTATATACATATTTAGTTATATAGTCTTTGTTGAGAATGTGGTTGGTTTATCATTTTTAAACTAAAACACCTTTGAAGTAGACAAACAAAATAAATACATCTTAAAACACTGTGAAAGTAAACTAAAAACAAAAATGCTATTTTAACAAATAGGATTTTACCCAACCAGTTTAGATGTCATTTTGTATAGGAAATTAGTGGCTTAAAGAAAGAGTTAATAAGTTTCCATATAGATTTGAGGTATCATCTTTTTCCTTTTTAAGAGCTAAATAACTGAAGGAGGTTAATAAAACCTTGTCAATCTAAGAACATAAATCAGAGGAGATAAGAAGGATAAAAGGAAACATTAACAGATTAGGTTAATAAATAAAATGTAAATAGTACTGAAAATAATTCCATTAGCTAGTTTTATTATAGTTAGTAATACCCTCTGTTGAAATTAATTTACACCTTAGCGGTTCTCAACTGGATATTGCCTTTACTCTTAGGCTGTTTTGTTGTTTGTTCTCCTCCTTTTCACAGGGTCAAGGGGCCAGCTTGAACCTGGAAAAGTCTTGGAGAACACATTTTGAGATAATAGGCATAAGTCTGAAGTGGGAAGACCCATCCCATCTTCGGAGTTAGCATCTCAGTGAGCTCCAACAGCACGTGACAATTTACCAATATAATTAATATTACCCTGACATTATAACTAGGAAACACTCAGGGACTGATGGGGCAGGAACATAATCAAATATAAAGCATCTGAGTATCAGAGAGGGAAAGAACTCTATTCCAGAGAAAAACAGGCTTAGAATCACAATGTAGAAAGGGGAGGAGTTAAGACCAGTAGAGATGGCATCTCAAGCCTCTCACTCCAGTAGACTATTACTTTTTACCTCTCATTGTTGTAACTATGTGTTGGTAGTAGCTTGTCTCTTGTAAGGTTTTGGCCCTGGAGTACAGCAAACGTTCATCTGCTTCATAGGTCTAGTCATCACAAAATGTCAGCTCCCTTTGCACCTTGAAGGCAAATGGCTAGGAAAACTTTAAGTTCCCTTTAGAAATTAGCAAATAAAGTATGTAAAACAGTAGGAATTTAAAATAGTCATTTTTAGAAATTAGCAAATATCATATAAAAGATGTTAAAATCTAAATAATTTCTTTAAAATTACCAGATAAAGATATCATTCAAACAATGTCAAAACCTAAAATTAATTCCTTTTAAAATATCCATAATTATGTCAAACAATGTAAAAACTTAAAACAATCATCTTTAAAAAAACAGTAAATATACCATCGAAGATAAATATACCATAGAAGAAATTAAAACTCAAATAATGCCTTTTAGAAACAGGCCCAAAACAATGTTAAAATTTAAACGCCCATTATGTAGATTTGGCAT